GATTTTCAAAACGGCCATATTATAGTCCCGGAGTGTTCAATGATAATTATTCTTCCGTGATCTGATAAAATGCATTTTTCTCAAAATCAACATTTTTCTCAAAATCAAGGTTTCGAGATAATCGCGATTTAGGGGTGTTTTTTTTTTTTTTTTACTAATTAAACAAAAAAGCAGCAATGTTGTTTTTGTTTGACTATCCCACATGAAGATATACATGTATCTCATTTACCATGACTAAACCAAATTTCATCGAATTGAGCTAAAGACAAACAAAAAAATAAGAAAAATACGTTTTATCAGATCACCCTCGTATTTGGTTTCCCGTTTGTCCCTGAGAAAGCCTCAAATCACGGGCGTCACTTGCACCATAAAACAGAACACATTGCAGCTAGTATTTATCTCAGCTCTTCAAACAGGAAAAGGCGAATTCAGATTTCATAACATCAAATAAATATGGGCAACAAGGCTAGAGGGCGACCGAGAAAGACCTGGATAGACGGAGTCAGGGAAACATTAACAACTCACGGCATCCCCCTGACCCAAGCTCTCCGGCTGGCGACAGAGAGACGTCTCTTTCTTCCCGCGACACCCAGAAAGGTATAAAAGTAAAAAGTAAATAAATATGGCGAGTGAGGGGGGTCAGCTCCATCTACTTGTGTGCTGTGTCCAATCATTCTATCCCACCCCCCACCCCCGCCCCCAGGCTGATTGCTGTAGTAAGGGGGGCTCTCGTGTGATCTAGAGGTCAAGGTGTTCGCTTCTTATTCAACAGGTCCCGGGTTCGAAACCTGGCAGTGACGGAACATTCGCGTCTCTAGAATTTCTCCTTTCACCATCTTTCCTGCTCTCTAGCAATGTTCCGTTGTTTGCTTTCGTCTCCACTTTCTCCCCCCCCCCCTCCCCTATACCCCTTTGCTCACTCTTCTGGGCTCCCGACTCTTTCTGCAGCCTTTTTACTACTGCTCCTTGGCTCCTCCTTACTGCTGTCTTTCAGCCACACCCCTGATCTTAGAGTAGATACAATCTAACACCTAGCCTTCTCAGATAAGGGTGAAAACCCTCGGGCGTTCCGTGTGCAAGTTGCGCGCGTAGAAGATCCCTTGATGGTTCAAAATCGATAAAAGTAGACTTAGGCCGCCACCTGGGCAAAATGCAAACTGAAAATGCTTAATGTGTCCCATGCGCTGTTTGAACGATTATGCTGTTGCGAGCGCCGCAAAACACTTAGATCGACCAACACAAAAAAATAATAATATGGCGAGGACGTCGATTTTTAAAAATCAGTTTTTACAGCAGTGTGTTTGCTTCTGTTGCACATTCTATCCCTGCATCCACGCCTGTGTCCCGCCCAACTGTTCCAATCGTTATCACCAGTGAGCAAACATCAAAAACATTGTTTTACGAAATAATGAGTACAAAATGACAATACTAGCGCCATAGAAATGTGGGAAGAAAGAGACTACACGATGGAAGCAAACTACGTGGACCACACAGTGTTTGATAATGATAATAATGATGATGATGATGATGATAATAATGATGCTAATAATAATAATAATAATAATAATAATAATAATAATAATAATAATAATAATAATGATAATAATATAATGATAATAATATAATGATAATAAGTAGCATTTATTTAGCGCATATTCCCGCTCAACAGCAAGCTCTATGCGCTTTACGCTAGATCTATAGACCATAGAACTCTTTTACATTGTGTGATCTCTAAGATAAGAATTTTAGCAATATATTATTTTACATAGTGTGATGATCTGTAAGATAGGGGCTCTCGTGGCCTAGAGGTTAAT